AATTGAGAAAAGGATTCGATAGCTGGGACAACACTTTTATTCACCTGAGGTTTCGACATCCGTCGCGAATTCTTCACCAGAGACTTTTGCAGAAGGCAGTAGCGGAAACGGCTAACACAGGTGCTGTAATGACTCTGTCCTACAAATACTGCAACTGCCTGTGCATGTGTTACCCATTTCTGTTACTGCTTTCTGCTCATGTCCCTGATGAAGAATCCGTGACGGATGTCGAAACGTCAGACGAATTAAAGTGTTGTTCCAGCGATTGAATCATATCCTCAATAAGCATGGCCATTGGGCATACTCCAACAACACGTTGGGAATACTTCGAACTATTCTGACGCATAAAAAAACCCAGAACAAGAAAAATCATCCCATCCCATTACTAAAATCATCGTCGTTCAATTCAGGACAAATATTACTTCTGTTAAATCGTTCTGTTTTAAAACAACAGTGGAAACTTACCGCCATGAGCGCCAAGACCAGCTGCCAGACGCGACTGGAAGAATCCTCGCAGTATTTCCTTGCCCATTTCAAGCAGACGTTCGTTGTATTTTCTTGAAGCAAGAATAAGCGAAGCGTGAGCCAGTTGGGTCAGAATTTCGTCGAAAACAAGAAAAGTATGAACAGTGCCAGACCCTAGTTTGCGCTAAGAGGGGCTGTCGTTAGGAAGTGGTCGGCATGGAGAGTCGCAAAAATGTCAACAAGAGAAACGCGGACTAACCTCGATCGCATCTCGATTTTTCATACTCCTGATTTTATCGTAAGTTTCGCACGCGTTGTCCGCCACTACTCTTCTGTCAGGCGCCGGGTAATGTCAAAAAACCTGTCATTTTTCGCTTTTTTTACACAATAGTTCTTCACTGACTACCCCCGTCCAGACTTAAAATCATTATAAGTTTGTAGCACCTACTCGCATTTACTTGGTTAATTTGAAAAAAGTGAGACACATTCGGTGAAAGGAACTTCAATTGACTTTTTAGAATGCCTACCCATTTTTTGAAAACCTGTTTATAAATGCTTCATTTGTTTTCGGAGAGTTGACAGTTTTCTGTCGCTCCGTGCAAGAAGGTGTACGAGGCGTATTTTAGCAAATTACCGAAAACATTGTATGCAGATATCAGTTCTAACTACTTACTCTCTGTCCGTCAGGAGTTGCGAAAATTCCAACAGAGAACGGGCGAGACCACAGCCAATTTCCTCCAAGTCGCAAACATCGAAGTGCTTCATTTTTCCTCTTCAAAATAAAAGGCATCAAAGTATGAGTCCCTCCAAGGTACTGGTTCACACTCGGGTACCATTCAAAGGCAGGAGAAAAATAATAGCTCACGGATATAAAGCAACTTCATTAGCAATCACCCTTGCCACTGCTTCGTGTAGGTACCTAATGCCTTTCGGCTACTTCCATTCCCGATTGGTGTCGACTAGATCTTAACGCGCACCTTGTATGGCCAATGGTAGGTGAGAATCCGATCGCTGGTATTCCTACCTCTGGAGTATTTACGCATATTGGACTACTGCCAACGGAAGGAAAAGAAACTGATACCGGAGTGGTTTATATGTTTGCTCTACGAGATTTGCTGACCATCATATTAAGAACAAGGCGCACCTACTGATCCTGCTATCGACACTGGTTGATTAACGCTCACCGATCACTAACGAAACTCACCCGTCCCCCTTTGCTTTAAAGTTCATTTTTCTTGCCCTGACAGCGGTCGGAGCGGCTAGCAGTCGTGGCAGATAGTATTGCCGGTAATACCAAAGGAGACTGGAATGCCAATTTCTGGCTTATTAGCCATCATCAGCCGGTCATACCAAATTAAAGGTGGTGCACCACCCGATAGTCAAACTCACGACATTTTTGATTAGAGTCTAACGCTCAAAAGAATAAAATGACGACTCCGGTGATCGAAGCGCCTTCGTCTTCTATTGCTGTAATATTTGGGCCACGAGCTCGTTATTTTGGCGGTTGCAGATCAGGCGATACTGACGCTCGTTGATGAACGTTCACCGATCGCTAACGGGAATCGCTCCTCCAGCTCTTCCTTGGGCCCATTCTCGAGTCCCGCCAACAGCCACAAAGCGGCTAGTACCGAGTGCATTGCCGGTAAAGAAAAGAGAGACTATAAGGTGGTCATTTCTGGAACTGTAGCCGTCGTCAGCCAGTGATACCCAACACCAGGTGGTGCACCAATCGAGGCTCGAGCTTGTGACCTTTATGATCAGGGTCTAATGCCCTAATCATCAAACGACGGGATCGTTCTCTTGTTGTCCTGATATCCCTGCAGGAGTGTGTCACAACGACTGACTGTGCTAGATCCCTGGGGCGGGTTTCGACAGTCTCTCGAGCCCAGGACTTTGACGTCCCTGCAGGAGAAGGGAAATCAAGATATCGTGTAATGTCCCCTTAACAAAGACAACGGGTCAATTACCTGCAAGTTCAGTATATGCTCATTTGTCATCCAAGCCCTCAGACGTAGTTCATTTTAACAATGACTGCGTTCACCATTTCCCTCTTCCGCCAGCCGTCTTTAACCTTACTTCTAGAATATGTGATCCATCGCATTAGTGAACTAAACTCGTGCGTTTTACTCTATGGAACTTGCCGCGCCTGATACTTAACTGTACTG